TTTTTTTTTTAACGCTGTTTGTTTGCAATATAATTAATTAAGAGCAGCTAAGTAGCTCGTCGGAGTGGTTTCCCTTAACCTTTCCTGCCGCAGTGATCAGAGCTGCAGTCACACAGCAGGATGCAGAGCTTAGACAGAAACAATATAAACATCATTCTAAAATTTTTAGCTGTTAAAATCGTCTGAAAACTCAATTTTATTTCCTAATAGCTATCAGCAAACATCACTCGATCATTGTTGGCGCATCTGTGCAACATTCATTAATATTTACAAAGGCAACGTTGCACAACCGCAGAGTGCCAGCCAAGTGTTGCTAAACTTTAGTTCTCTAAATAAATTCTGTGAAATTCTACCTGCGTGCCTTTCTCTCTTTCCTTCTGGGCTGGATGCTGTGAGAAATATTAATGTGCAGACTTGTTTTAACACTCTCACACTTCTTGTCTGTGGTTGCTTGTTTTTTGTAATGTAGGACAGCGGTTCAGAGGGTTTGAGCAAAGCTTTGAAAAAAAATTACGCACTGAAAGCACATGAGAAAAAAAAGAAATATTTTATGGTAGCAAAGCCACCATCACACTTATCCCTGGTTCACAGAGGACAGCAGCATAAATAATTGCTTTATGTGTTGACATTGTTGGTATTTTTGTTTTTACCTGATGTGAGAAATCACAGAAGCTTAGAGCTGTACAACCTGACCTCCCTGAATTAAAACAATAAATAAATGGGATCAGATCAGCTATCACACTGCCTCTATTTTAAAAAAGCACAGCCGGACTGGGACAATGACAATGCTGGTGGTATTTTAGTCATCCTCCTGCCCTAGTTCATTATTAATATGTGACCACACGCCCCAGCTATACCCCACTCAGCCTTAATGTGCGCTCCGGGCGCCTGTCACATTTAGACCTCCGCATTTCAACACGCAGTTTCTACAGTTTCAGCCGCACAGGCATCGAGGACGGAGCCCGCCGTGCCCCTGAACGATTTTTAATGATCCGAGTGGGCTGAGCCTGAAATCAAGACAGAACTCCTGGAGGACACGTGAAACCCAGGACCCACCTCAAAAAGGCCTCAGCGTATAAGATTCTTCAGCATTCAGGGATAAAAAGAAAACAGATCCTTCAGATATAAATCAAGAAATCACATCATTGTTTACTGATGGTCGCTCTGTGAAAACCTGCGGCTGAGAAGTTGCCTTCATCTGTTTTCCTGGCCTGAATCAGAACAAAAGAAGGGGTCTCCTCAGCATCACACAGTCTGTCTGAAGCACCGCAGTAAAACAAATCTGAAATGGGGCATTTTAGACACTCTGGACAAGTCGAAATACAAATAAAAAAGGAGTTCAAAGGTTTTGTGGAATCTTTACAAAGTCTTCTGTGAATTTAAAGCCAAAGGAAACCCTGCTTGCTTTGGGTTCTGTGTGCAATGAGTCAGATTGTAAAGACTAATATGAGTATGATCCCTATTAGTGGAGAAACAGCAAAGCCTTTGGGGTCTGTAAAGGTATACCTGCCTCTAAATGCCAACCACACTGCTTTCAGTGCCACTTAAAAGCCACTTTGAAGATGGGGACAGTCTCAGATATGTCGAGATCTCTTTAAAGTTTTTCTTTTTTTTCCCCCCCTCCGAATATGATCTATTAGCCTGTGTAAACTCCCAGGCTATTTTCAGACATGCACACATAAGCCTCTGGATGGGTAGCTATTCATTTGGAAAAGGGGGCTATGGGGGCAATTAGAAATAGTTTGAGGTTCAGCGATGACATAAGACAAAGATTTCTATCTTTAGAGGAGCTGCGGCGGTCACACATTTCTGTACATTCACAAATTACAGGGCAAGCTTCGGCCCTCAACCCACCGAATGCATTCCTTCCGAAAAGTGTCTGCTCGAATTTCAGCCGGGGGTTTCTGCTCAGTGGAAATATGAGTGTTCTGAATGGACGACTTCTATGAAATGGAGTTTTATTCCTCTTGGATTAAATTAGCTCTACTTTGGGGCTTGGGGTATTTTTTTGTATGAATGATGAATTCTGTGGTGACTGTGGAACGCCAAGCTTGTTTACCTTTCCCTCCCTTTTTCCCCCCTTTTTTGCGTTTTTTCAAAATGCAGCTCGCTATGAAATGGACTTTTTCTGCTTGATATGACAGGAGTGTCTGTGATTAGACTTCTAAGCATGATGTAAGTCACCAAAGCCATTTGTGCTAGTCCCCTCAAAGCCAAATCATATTCTAGCGTCAGAGTGTTTATATACACAAGTATATGGAGAAACTTTTAAACAACAGTGAGTGGGTACAGACTGTTTGGGTTTGGGGCTCTCGCTGCTCTGATGCCTGATTCTTTCTCAAATCTTGATTACAGAATGTGTCAGCACATCACAATTGGCGGTCATTTTTGTCCATTTTGATGTTCGCGCAAGAAAATGGGAAACACATTGAACAATTTCGATCATGTAAATTTGCACGTTACTTTTTCTCCAGCAAGGTCGCCTGTGTTAGTTTTAATGATGGCTGGAATGCATCTGTGTGCGTAAACTTCGTTTGAGCTCCTAATGACCCCAAAAGTC